CTTTATACTAAGCTCAATAGCACCCTCCGATCGAAACGACGAGAACCACTCAAACCATGGTTTCGCTACTTGAAGCTGGTTCTCACTGCTTTATTCAAGCTGCCATCATTGAAGGCTACAGTCTGGCGAGGAGTTCACGGCAATTTGACCGATCAATATGATGATGATATAGTATGGTGGGGATTTAGTTCATGTACGGAGAGTATGCGTGTCATGGAACAATTTGTTGGAACGTCAGGTGTACGAACTTTATTTACTATTGAATGCACTAGTGGTAAAGCTATCCGAGCTCATTCACACTACAATGAAGAAAATGAAATCCTTCTTTTGCCTGGCACTTACTTTCGTATTGTGAATAAATGGAGTCCAGCAAAAGATTTATACATGATTCATTTGCGAGAAACACCTCCACCACGACAATTCCTTGAACCGCCTTTCACATCGACAACATCGGACACCTCCTTTGCTACAGCGGTGACAACATCTATGGCAATACCAGTTAAAGAAAATATTGCAATTTCGAAAGCCGAAGGTCTACCAACTGCTGCTGCTACAGCATCATCCATCAAACCAAAAAGTAAGCGTTTTTTTTCATTCTATCCGGCATATTTCTGTAGAGAATTCTCAGTGTAATATTCAGTAGTAGGACATGAGTATGTAGAGAATCGAAGTTAACAAATATTTTGTTTATCGAGGCCAGCTGAAAAAGTTTTTAAATTAGAGACAAGCTTGTGGGAGTGAGCTCTAATGTGAATGTTAAACGAAAAGGTCACTAGTTTTTGCAGATGTTTATGAAGCTTGAAGTTTTATCTAGGTCCGATCTTAGCAAAATCTATATTCTTTTAATTCATTTATAGTGTATTGAAGAACCCAAAACTTCAATAAAAACATGATGTATTTAACATCAAAATAATGAAAAGTTAACCAGTGAGACATCATCAGATTAAAAAAAATGAAAATTCCATGCATGAAATGAACATTTTAATGTTTTCTATAAACTCATCAATACGTCTTGAGTGTCAATTATAGAATATCAAAAACAATTACTTTCAATCCCATCACTACGAGATTAAAGTATAAAATGAGGTGGAACTATTTGAACTGTTAATAAGAATCAGCGATAATAGCACCACATGTAGGATATGTCTATCATAGTAG